ATTAAACCTACATATTTAACTTCATTTCTTCCTAAAGGTCTACTGAAATTAGAATACAGAAAAAAATATGAGAACAGGAGATGACACAACAGAACAAAACGGACAACCTACAAAGTAGACGGTTGAGTGAACTCAGCTGCTTTGACAAAGCTCAAGCCAGCAGTGGGGAAAGCTGAGATCCCAACCACTTTACACCACAGAATCTTCAAGAACACAGAAGCCGACAGTGCCAGGTACCCCTGGAACCAAGGATAAAATGTGCTGGGTGCAGATAAAATAAAGGCTACTGAGGGGCGCCTGGGTGACTCAGTCAGTTAAGCATCCAACTTCGGCTCAGGTCATGATCTCACAGTTCGTGGGTTCCAGCCCCGTGCGGGCTCTGTGCTGACAGCCCAGAGTCTGGAGCCTTCTTTGGATGTTGTGTCTCTCTCTCTCACTGCCTCTCCCTCGCTCACGCTCTCTCTCAAAAATAAACATTAAAAAAATTTTTTTTTTAAATAAAGACTACTGAGAAGACTATGGTAAGAAGTTAGTTCCCTACTTTCATTCCCCACTCAACACCATGGTGCAGCCACATGTCTCCTAAGTGGGCAGATGTCTGCGGACTTAATCCCCAGAAAGGAAAGACCTCAAGACAGGGATTAAGTAAATAGATGCATAACGAATACAGAGACTACCAGTATAGTTCTGGCAGTCAGACCCTTACCCTGTAAGCCAGCCATCTTACAATTCTTCTCTACAGGACAGACCAGCCCCAAAGAAAAGGCCTAAAGACATTGACACTAGGGGTTCCCCAACACAGAGCCCATCTACATCTTCCAATAGTGAAGTTCAAAGCTAGCAAAGCTTCATCCTTCCAAACCTTTCTATCAGCTTTTTATGGTCTTATTCACAAGTGGGTGATCAAGGATCTGAGAAGTCTTTAATATGAAAGAGATCAAAGCAAACAGATAAAACCAACTTAGAGAAACAGAAACAACCCAAAGAGAATAAAACTACAAATATAAACAATAACACTAAAATAAAACTTCCTAGAAAGAAGAGCAAAGACACAGATGGAAAATTGGAAAAAAGAAAAGCAAAAGGAAAATCCAGAAGGTCTGATATTTGAAAGACAGGATTTCTAAAAGGGGAGAACAGAGAAAATAATAGCAAGAAATTTGCTAGTGAAATAAGTCAAGAAAATTTCCCAGAACTGAAGGACAGGAGTCACCAGGTCTTAAAAATCTACCGTGTACCCAATTGCGTGCAACACAATGAATTAAAATTGAGTCATACAAAGGAACATCATTGAGAAATTCCAGAACACTAAAGATAGTTTTTGTAAGTTCCCAGAGAGGGACAAAAAAAGATTACACATAAAGGATCAATATGCAATACTGGAAACAAGACAGTAGATTAATGCCTTTAAAGTTCCACGGGTGCCTGTGTAGTTCAGTTGGTTAAGCATCCGATTTCAATGCAGGTCATGATCTCACAGTTTATGGGTTCAAGCCCCACATTGGGCTCTGTGCTGACAGCTCAGAGCCCGGAGCCTGCTTCAGATTCTGTGTCTCCCTCTCTCTCTCTGCCCCTCGCCTGCTTGAGCTCTCTCTAACATTAAAAAAAAATTTCTAAAAGAAAAAATATCATAATTTAGAATCCTATATCCATCAAACTATCAACTGAGAGTATTTCCCTTCCAGGTACGCAAATTACTACTATTTATCTCCCACACACCTTTCTCAAGAAGTTAGTGGAGAATGTCACTCCAACAAAATTGGAGAATTAAAACAAAAAAAACCCAAAACTAGGATATAACATATAGGAGGAATATGGGGTGGGGAAACACGCACGAAAGGAGAGCGGTGAAAGGAAATGCCAGGAACGGCAGCTGTGCACCAGATCTGACCCAGGAGAGACATCCTGAGGGTTGGTGACACCAAGACTCCCACTGCTCTTATACCAAAAGACTGCCTAAGTCAGTTTGGTTCAGGTTCTTTTTCGTACTTATCTGATTTTGACCAAACCTAATAAAATTTCTGCTCTCTCCACCATGCCCTGGAGGGTGAATTGATCAGCCTATGTTAAACACCCCATCCCACGGGTTACACTTTGGCTCCTTCAGAGGACTGAAGGGAAGCCATGGTGAGCTTAGACACAGAAAAGAGACAGCAGACTACTCCAGACCATGTCTCTGCCAGGCATCCAGGACTGGAGTCCCAAAACAGCCCTGCCGGACCCCTTGCCCACAGTGGACCCTGTTTTCCAGGATTCATTTGTGAACTTGCACAGTCTTCCCCAGAACTGGCTTTTATAAGTTATCAGTGAAGCTAAAGCCAGACTATGACCCAGAGAATGTTTAGTTTATCTATTCTCCTTAAAGCCTTGATGTAATAGTGACCGTACTGCCCTATTCTTACACAGCTAGCTAGATTTTGCTTACTACTCAACTCTTAAAACCAAACAACGTATTCTTCAGGGATACACACGTCAGTGGCAAGACTCCAAAGAAAATAAAGATTAACACAAAAATCAACAGAATAGTTACTTGTGGATGGTGAAAAAAGATAAGGAAGCATAACTGGAGAGGGCCAGAGGAGTCCTCAAGATATTGCTGGTTTTACGTTTGACTTGGGTGGGAGGCACACAGGCTTTTATTTATTACTCTTTAAATAAGTTTTATAGTCTTATGTATAAGACTATACATTGAACATACATACAATCAATCACAGCAGATTGCAAGGTAGAATGTCTCTTCTTTTACAGAAAAAGCAACGTTTGTATTGATATACCCCTCTCTCAGGAATAGGAATATCCAAGCCCTCCTCCCCCAAAAGCCTTGATCACAATTCACTGCTACCTGAATAGTATCCGTGTGTTGGTCTATCACTCAGGAGACCGAAGCAAAGTTCACAGGACATAGAGAGTCTGCAGTTTCTAGTCCTCTAACAGAGTAACATCTTGATTCAAAAAAAAAAAAAAACAAAAAAAACAAAAACAAAAAAAAACCCAACCAATTTGCTACTCATCTGGTCAACATCTGTTTTTGTGGTGACACTTGAAATTATCCTGTTCATTTTTCAAAAACTGTGTGGAAATTGTTTTTGTGTGTGTCTTTTTATGTTTTTTGCTTATTTACGTATTTATTTATTTAGGTTTTTGGTAGCAAATTGAAGTACAAAGTATAGGCAAGAAAAAGAAACCAATGTGAAATGCATGACTTAGAAGACCTACTTAATTCATTTGACAAAGATTCCGTTTATGAATCATGTGCTGAAAATACCCAAACTCCATCTTTGGACTTGTCAATGTAATCCAAGCCAGGAAATGCAAACCACCTGGGAGGGAACATTTCATTCTGTCCCCCACCCTCTGCTAGTCAGTGATGTGACCCTCTCCCCATTGTTAGGTATTCCCTGGAATGGGTTGGTCACAGAAGAGGTGTCTGTGGGATGTCGACATCAGTGTTCTCCCAATCTCTTTCCTATCATGGCGCTCACACAAGGAAATGCTACTTGCACAGCGCAATGGCTCTTCCTCCCTCCAGGCCTCTCAAGCCAACCAACGTCTCGGCACATCATCAGCCCATCTGCTCCTGCCTGGCTCACGAGTCTTCTCGGTTGAGGTCTGGCCTGCATGGTACAATAGCAGGGAAGTACAATAGATAACAGGGAAGTTATCTTCTACCGAAAGCCACCGGGAGAGGAAGTCTTGAGGACAAGACGGGCTGATGTTCAAAGATGGCAAAGACCGACGGTAAGATGAATTCTTTTTCTGATTTCTTCTTCTGTACCATTTTTCCTATTATTGACGACGGGAGAGCAACGAAAACATCGGACGACTGCTATCGCAAAATGTCTCAAGCTCACGTATAAGAAAATGGAAAAACAAAAACAAGAACAACCCAAGGGTCATCATCAAGTTTTGTTTTATTTAAGATTTTAGTTTTAATTCTGAAGAAAGAGGTACATTTCCTTGTTTTTAGTTTTAGCGTCAGGTTATAACCAGGTTTCTGTTTTCTTTTCTCCTGTCTTTTCAATACTGCACAAACGTCCAGAAACTACAGGGTTAAGTAAAAGCTGCAGGCAAGGAGGTCAGAGATTTGCTCCTGATGGTGATCAGATGGCCCCAGAGCAGTGCTATCTCAGAGTGCCCCAGTCAGGCGAATTTTAAGGGAAAAGAAAAAAAGATTCTGACAGAGGAGAAAGACCGAAGAAATCACTTATATTTCAGCTCTTATGTTATGCATAGGTATTAAATCTGTGAATACTTTTTTTCTTTAAAACATTTGAATTTACTTTAAATCTAAAGCCAAAAATTTTTTTCTCCTTTAAAAAAAAAAATCACTTCTCCCCTCCTTATCAACTCTTTAGCAATAGGCCAGTTACTGCTACAGATCAATTTGTCTTTCCATCAACTTCCAATAAATTCTTTTGCTTAACGACACAATCAAGTCCTCTCCATCAACTTGCCGGAAGAATTAAAAATTAAATTAAATTAAAAGCATTTTCCCTGCAATAGTGATAAGCTGAATACAAGATGGATGTCAGGACCACTGCTTTCCCCCATGCACTTAGCAATCTCATTTCAATTAACCTGGTTTTCAAAACTTTTGCAGTTGATAATGCATTTACTTGACCTTTCCTAAAGATTAATCGTCATTTTCTGCTAAGCAGATTATGTCATTATTATGCGCAACAGACAAACAGTAATTTTCTAAGTATTGAGACTGCCCTTTGATTTCTTTTTTTTTTTGTCCCTCCTTAAAAAGGCATTTTTAGGAAACATTCAACAGTGTCACTCAAATGCTGGATCAACAGAAACTTTTACAATTAAAAAAAAAGAGATGGTAATGACCCTGTGATCGCATTGCATCTGGGGGTGAGGAGAAAAAAAAAGTTGATCGGGAACTGGATTCTTCAGAACGTAAGAATGAGAAGGGAGCTGTGGGTGTGGGCCGAGAGGGAGAAAACAGGGCGGGACAACTCCTGCGTTTTCTGATGGTTTCTCCTTTTTCCCTAATGGCGGTCCAGTGTTGAACTCTGTAGTAAATCTGTGGGGGTTTTGCTGGGGGGTCTGAAGGCTGTCTGAAAGCCTGGGGGTGGGGAGTGGAAGCTGGAAGGGTTTGAAGGAGGAGGGTAGGGGTTCCAACTGGCTCTGTGCAGAGGGATCTGTGTGCTGAAGGGGGCGCTGTGGTGGGTCTGCGATGGAGCAGCACTGGGGCCGTCCATCTCTGTGAGGGCCTGAAGGGATTTTAGCCAGTGTGGAGGATTGTCATCTTGAAGAGAGTCTAAACTGTTTCCTGAAGTTGCTGGAATACCTAAGGAGAGAACAGAAAAACAAGGGGGGAAATGGTGAGTTTGTGAAACAAGAGTAAGAAACCCATCGAACAAACAAACAAACAAACAAAAAATGTCTCGGGTGATTAGTTTATCCAAAAAGAAACAAAACTTACAAATCTTAAACTCCTTCCAGAGGAGACCTTTTTAATCTTATGTTCTTTTGAATCCTCCGCCCACAAGGACCATGATTCATTGCTAGAGAAACCCATGCCTCTTCTTCAGCGGCATAGACATCGTCCCCCACTGTCACAGAGGCAGAGCTGTGGAAAGTAGCCCCCAGAATTGTATGCCATCGTCTCCCAATCGCGCTTCGCTTTCTCTAACAGGGGTACGTAAACAAGATAGCCTTATAATAGAGAGCTTTATTTTAAAAAGTGGAGTATGTTCCTTTAAAAGGGTAAGTCAGACACTTTTGTTCTTTGAGACTTGAAACGTGCGCACGTGCTGCCAGACGTTAGCACCTACTTACACCCAGAGAAGCAACCGAGGCACCAAATGCCTTCTGATACAACGAGGCCAACACAGCTAACCGAGACTGCAAGACCCCAGAGAACGACACAGGCCACCCCACGCGTGTGGCTTTGTGGAAAGAAGCCGATGTTGAAGAGACCTCTGTCTGCGTTTAATCTGTGCTAAAAACCAAATGGATGGCAGTCAGTGGAGCCGAAGGAGCGAGAAAGTTACCTGTGATGATGGCTGGGTCTGTCCAGCTGCCAGGGCTGTCCCAACTCAGGCTGTCGGTGGTGGCGGGGTTGGACGTTGGTGCAGTGTGGTTGGCGTTGGAGGGGGAGGAAGAATTGGGCAGTCCACCAAAGTTGATGTTAATGTTGGGTAGAAGTGCCCTTAGCCCGTCCTGCCATTCCTTCATATTTAAACTCTCTACAGAACTGCTGTTGTCTGGGAGATTTACCAACAAAAAAATGAAAGATAAAAAAAAAAAATAAAAAGCTGACGTTAGAAACAGATGTTGTTCTTTCGTGGTTAAGCGGGAGAAGAATTATTCTTTCTTTACTGAGCATTTAAGATGGGTTTTCCTAGCAAGATAAACTTGGGTTAGGATTTCTCTCGTGAGCTCAGAGCCCCTGAAATAAGTGAGGAAGAACTTGCTCAAGGATCAGGAGAGGGAGCGTCTTGTCCTTCTTAGAGGCTCTTCACCATTTTGTGTTTGTAAATCACTAAGCCGGTTTAAAGACTCAATGCTCCAGAGCACAATTTAGTTTCAGCCACGTTATGAAGTTTCAGGTAGTGAGGCATTTGGCCAGCTGAGTTGATTTATGCTATCAAGCCTGCAAAGTTCAATATAGGAGCTTATTTCTGAGCCCGTTAAGTGGAAGAAAAGTCATTTTATGAAGAATAAACATAAGCCAATAGAAAAGGAAAAATAATTAAGTTCTTCCTGATGATAAAACTGGTAATGCATTTCAGAGGAGAAAGGCAGTAATGAATAGGCTTTTGAATTTGAAAAGAGCATTTTTCCATTAGTCATAAAGGCCGAGTAGGCAGGGGCTAAGCTACCTTTCAGATGGAATAATTTCCAGCGCAGCCTGCCTGCCCTATTCCAACAGTTCTACCGATCATTTAAAACTCAAGTCCTGGAGTCCTACAGTTAGTTCTCTGGTTCTACTTATGAATAGTGTCATCCCTGACAAGACACATCAATGTAAAAAGGCTTTGGTAAGTCGTAACTAAACTTGATCTACCACCATCCAGAATCCACATACGGTAACTCATCGGTTGGAGGGGAATGGGTGAAGCGTCGGTGGTAGAGTAATGGTTTTATTGAAAACAGGAATGTAGGTCAAACTACCAACTGAGGTTTTTGAGAAGAGCAGAGAATTGGTAAGCAATCACCACTGATGATGATGGTATTCTAGCAGGTGGTCTGTGCTATTTGGTGAATGTAGAATTGTCTTTTTATAATTCTGCTTTGCACCAATTTACTGTTCTATGTATCATGTTTCAGCAAGTGAAGCATTTAACCCTACTGGCCTTATTCATACAAAGAAAACAAACAAACAAACTACAACCAAACCCAACAAAAGTCATCCCTGAATTACTAAGATGAAGAAAAGGCAATTTATGCCATTCAGACAAGTCAAGACAAGGGAAAAGAAATTCTTCAAACCTACTTTCATTTCACAATCAAGGCAGTTTCCTAAGGCGCCTCCTGTTTGCATCTTTACACGTGCACCGAGCTGTACAATTTACAAGGCTCTCTCACACTTATTTATTGTTTCATTTGGCCCTCGTGTTGTGAGGTAGGCGGAACGGGGACAATAATCTCCATTTAACAGATGAACACACTCCAGAATAATTTGCTCAACGGCACATAACTAATAAAGACTTGAACCCAGACCCCGAGTTGTTTTTTCTTAATAACGCCAAGCTCTCTCTTGATCTACACCGTATAGACTATTAATTGCCTTTTTTAATGGATCTATAAGACCCATGACTTAAAAAAGGCACAATTGAAACACAGCAACATTATAGTATATCCACTGGCCATGAGTAGCAGGATAGAGAAATATTTTGGCTGAATAAACAGAGTAGACTTTGCAGCTAGGCTGGGGGTGGGAGGGATTTCTAATCAACAATGCAATAGTCATTTTCACCCTGACTCCCAACTGCATGAGGCAATTCACAGTAACAAAGTTCTAAAATACTCTCCAGTACAGGAAGGTTTGCTGACTATGGCACATTCTAACCTTTAAAGTGATCAAATCGTCAGACGGAATAACTTAAAATGGTTTTCAATTAACCAGAAACGGAACTCTAAACAAGGAAAGCTTCCTAGGAGGGAAATAAAATCCCCTGATATAAAAAGATGATGTATAACCACGTGGAAAAATTCCGAGGAAGACTAATGCTCTTGACCTAGGTAGCTAAAGTCAATTAAGAAGACTGTAGAGATGATTTGAGACCCTCTTTTCCACTGAATAGAGAAAAAGAAAATACCCATGACTCAGTTAATACCGTTTTTCTCCTTACTTTTGCTTTACATTTAGTGAGAAGTGGAACCAAGGAACCCCTAACTTGGCATTAACAGAATAATGTTTGCATTTATATAAAGTTTATTTGAAAATTAGTATTGCAATCCAGTCAAAAGACATTTGTTCACGGGCAGGGGACCCGCAGGAACTTTGCATTTTGCATTCAGTTTTGCTGTAAACTTAAAATACTCCAAAAAATAAAGTCTACTTTAAAAAACATGTTTCCCTGATTTTAGACTAATGAAATCAGGCAAGAGTACAGCGGACCCTTGAACAACACAGATTTGAGCTGCATGGGTCCACTTACACGCAATTCTTTTTTCGGATAAATACAGTACAGTCCTATAAATGTATTCTTCTTTTCCTTAGGATTTTCTTAATAACATTTTCTTTAGCTTAGTTTATTATAAGAATACGGTATATAATACATATAACATACAAAATATGTGTTGTCTGTTTATGTTATTGGTAAAGCATCCTGGTAAACAGGAGGCTATTAGTAAAGTTTTGGGGAGTCAAAAGTTACACGTGGATTTTTAACCATGCAGGGGGTTGGTGCCCCAACCCCAAGTTGTTTAAGGGTCAATTCTCTGTTGGCCAAAGAAACTCACATTTGCCACATGATATAGAAACAGTGAGAAACTCATATCATCCCAGGTGAACTATGATTACAAGATACCTTGAGAAATAAATAAGCTAGTTTATAATTCTTACAATCCTGCCAAAAAACAAAGTCATGTATCTAGGCATCTCAGGACCTGGACAGCATGCACGACTGGTTCACAGTGAAGCTGCAAAGTGTCACAGGGAAGCGGACTGACATCTTTAGCTCTTGGAATGGGACCACCGACTCCCAAATAGCTTAGAAGAGAAATATTCTTCAGCTTTCTCCCCTGTTGCTATGCCAAGTGTTGGCATAAAGAACAGGCAAGGGACGGGAAATTAACTAAAGCCTAACTTCATCAAAATAGCTCTCTCAGTCCAGCCATACTTGAAATCACCTCCTTCCCCAACCTGCTCCCTCCCTGCCTTGGACTCCAATTGGTTCTGGCAACAAGGGCCTCTGGTAATCCATTCTTTGCAATATACAATAGCAGGGGTTATTCACCTCAACACCACAGACATTTTGGACTACATAATTGTTAAGCGGGGTCGTTCTATGCATTACAGGATGTATAGCAGCATCTCTGGCCTCTACCCACCAGATGCTAGGAGCCCATACATCCCAGTTCTGCCAACCAAAAGTATCTCCAAATATTGCCAAATGACTCCTAGGGGAACAAAATGGTCCCCGGTTGAGAACCAATGACACAAAGGAAGTTGGTTCCTTAGTTTCTAGGGCTCTGAAAAAATCCCACTCAATACATATTTCCCTTTAAAATAGTACCAGAACTTTGACCAGTGGACTCAACTTGATGCAACTTCATTCCTGTTTATTGATACAGGACTTCACACTGGGGTGCAATTTAGTATGTACAACTCAGTAGATCTAATGGAAAACAATATTGGGCTGAAGACTGCAGATGGACTGATTGTATTTATCAGCTCTACATGGTAATTAATACAACCTTGGGCATATAAGTATCTTAATATCCCAGGACTCTATTTCATAAGTAGGAATAATATCTGCCCTGGTTTCTTGTAGGGACAAAATGAGAGAAGGGAAAGCAATCTGAAGCCCATCTATTACTTGCCTAACAACTATTTTTTATTAGTACTCAATACTGAATAGACAGTAAACTTTCCAAAAAGACAAGGCAGAGGACTCCTCACTTGCCAGAAACTGGCTCTGTGCAAACAGTCTCCTCCGAGAACGTAGGGATAACACCCAGCATCTCCACAGAGGGACTGTGTAGTCAGTCGACTGAACTGATAAGACTTCTCACCAAAATACTGCAAGGTCGAGATATGGGAAAGTACCTTAAACTTTCCACATGGAACGTACAATGAAAATCAAGTTAGTGAACATATTTGATATTAGAAATGATACTATCTGACTTGTATTTAATTAGTTGTAGTATTTACTCCGGGAAGAATTGTACATTTTTAAGGGACGGCTGACATTTAAATGTTTTATAATATTAAAAAAACTAATTATAATTTTCAAATACGTACAACAAAACACTATTTACAGGACTAAATAATTTGAGGGCAGGAAAGCAGGTCAAATTGTTTGCAGTAGTTTTATTTTTCAGTATAGAACTCAAAGACATACAATTTAAAGTACCTTCAAGATGCCACATACTACATTCTCATATGCCATGATGTGAGGAGTATCAGTATACTATGTTTCCGTGGATCAGAACACCAGAAAGAAGAAATTATGTTTAAAATTCAGCCAGCTTGCTGATTACCTAACACCCAGTCCGTAACAAGTTGATCACAGCACACGAAGCAAGTTGACAAATCCAGTTTGGGGCAACAACAAAGATTATAAAATGTACGTGTTAAGACTGCCAAGACGAAAGTCAAAGCAACAATCTACTGACGGCGTACGGTATGCAAGGAGAACAAACAACTTAAAACTCTTGTCTCTTGTTCTCAAGGAGTTTAAAGTCTAGACAGTGAGACAATGCAAATACGGGAAAAGTTCAACATCACCGGAAGAGCAACAGAAGAAATGTCACAGGGTTGTATGTGACCATTAAATGCTATCAAGTTCAGTAAAAAGAGAGGCCAGTGAGGCACACTTATGGAAATGTCTAGGGGGAAAGAACAAGGGCAGTCATGCACGCGTGGAGCTGTTTTTGTTACTACACAGACACCCCGAGCCTGAAACATCCACAACAGGTCGAAACCATCTTTGGTATTTTTACATAACTCCAGACTAGTCCAACCATTAACTAGGATGTACAGAAGAGACATGTTTTATAAGCAATGGCTACATGGTTGACCCTGGCCCCACAC